GTTTCCTCCATTCTGAGAATCTCATCTTCAGGTGGGAAATTTAAAGCCTTTTCTACCTGTGGCTCTCACATGTTGGTTGTTTTATTGTTTTATGGAACAGGATTTGGTGTGTACCTCAGTTCAGTTGTCACATCTTCTACCTGGAAGGGTGCAGTGGCCTCAGTAATGTACACCGTGGTGACCCCCATGCTAAACCCCTTCATCTACAGCCTGAGAAACAGGGACATCAAGAGAGTCCTTTGGAGGCTCCTCAGTAGAACAGGTTAATCAACATTTGTGTCATCCTTTGGGTGTGTTTGTTGGGAAAATGGCAAATGCTGACATCTGTAACCATAAATCTTATGGTTGTCTACATATTTTTTGTAGCTCTTAAAGGTTTCAATCTTACTTTCTACTTACTTTTGAACATTACTTCCTTTGTTACATCTTTAATGCTGTAGTGGGAATATTGTGGAGTATGTCAATCAGTGTGGTCAAATTCTGTTATAGCTTTGGCATCTCCTGTAGCATCTCATCTATTAACCAAGTTTCCTGATAAAATATGTAACTTTCTATTTATTTAGTGTAAATTTTCATCATTTACCATAATTCATATCTATTTTCCAGTCTACTTTGCAGGTAACAGAACTGTGTATGCATGTTATGTGTGAGAATGCTTGCATAGGTCTCTAACATGGATTCCTACTGGAATCATTTAGGAAGCTTTAAAAATATTGATGCCTTGGTCCCACCATGAAAGATCCTGGTTTAACTGAAGCAGCATGTGGATAGAGGACTCAGTTTTTACATTAACAAAGGTGATTTTAAAGTGCAACCAAGGTTAAAGCTATTTATCATTTTAGATTTTTTTCTTTGAAACTGCCTAGGTGTCAAGGATATTTAGTTTCCTAGATAGATGCTGAAGATGTCAAAGTAATCAGAGCTCATAAGACCTTACTCTAACACTATGCAAGTGATTTTTCACAATATTTATGAGGGTTTTATTTTTTATACATTCTCCCTGTACATTACATTGCTGTTGCCTGTTCTTGAATTGGCTCTGTCTCACATGATGACCTGATGTACGTCAGAAGAAAATGCTATCCAGTCCAATACCACTCCTGTTATTGATGTGGACCAGACCTTTGGCCATCGTGATCCAAAGGGTTTTCATTGGTTGATATTTGCAAATAATTTGTTTTGCTAGTGCATTTTATTCCATAATCTTAAAAATTGTTTAATGCTGTAGAAATACACAAATCTCTACTGACAAATGATGGTTGAGCACCAGGTACACTGGTTGGGAATAAAACCTGGTATTCCACATGGAAGAGGAAGCTTCAGTCAATGAACCACCAGTCCCTCTGCTCTGCACACCATGGTGGTGATGGTGGTGTTGGTACTGTGCTATGGAGTCAGTTCTGACTCATAGTGACCCTGTATAGCGTTTCTGAGACTATAAATCTTTTCAGCAGCAGAAAGCCTCAACTTTCTCCTGTGGAACAGCTGGTAGTTTTGTACTGCTGACCTTGAGATTTGTAGCCCAACTCACAACCACCACACTACCAAAACTCATAGAATTCATCATATGAGCTTGCTGATAAGCTATTTTGTCCCTACTTCAAATTCATAATTCTGAAGTCCTGGTGTAGTACTTTAGGATAAGCACTGGACCATAAGAACTGTTTGATTCACAGGTCAATGGTTCAAACTCACAGTATCTCCTCAGAAACCCTACACAGGGTCACTAGAATAGGAACTGACTTGAGGTTACTTAAAAACAATAATAGAGTTTAGTTTGTGATGCTAGGGCCCGAGATTTCCCATCTCAGTAAACTGTTTTGCTTTTCCAATAATCACTACTAAAGGTCATTACATCTTGTTAAGGGAGAAATTGTCCTTACACCTTTTTCCCAAGCCCTTGTTATTGTAGCTTTGCTCAGCAGCTACTATCTCTATATTGTCATATAGCTCCTTTTCACATTTCAATCCTTGTATAACTATTGTGAAGTCCTGGTACAGTGCTGCATGATAAGCACTGGACAGACAACCATATATTTGTGGGATCAAAGTCATCAGTTGCTGTGCAGAAATCCTCAATAGAGATGTTAGGAGTTTGAATCGATTCAATGGCTCTTAGCAACAACAATAGAACTATTTTATCAATTTCTTGTATTAAGTCTTTTCTACTGATGTTTATTGGATCCTGCTTGATAAATTCAATATGGGGCATTAAATATTTTTGGTGAAATGTCTACAAATGGAACATTGCAATGCATACAAGAAAAAAAAAAAAAAAAAACAGGGTTGTAAGTGTTATGTGTTGGTGAAGGTTGTATACTTCAAAATTAATATGGTGTTTCATATTTCTGGTTGCTGTGACTTTATTGATGCTCTAGGATCAATAATCCATTAAGTCATTATGAATAAATTAAATTTTATCTTAGTTTTCATTGTCTAGAATAGCAAGGAGTCCTGGTATGGTGCTGTGGGTTAATGTACTGAACTGCAAGTTCAGTTTGAACCACAAGGAAGGTGAATGATTCAAGCTCATGGACTCTCCTCTGAAGCCCTACACAGGGTTGCTAAGTCAGAACCCACTCAACTGCAGTGAATAAAAACAGGATGGCAAAGTCCCTCTTTTCAATAAAGAAGAATGTTTGCATTTCACTAGTAGAAATCTGCATAAAATTTGACTTTGTTATCATGTATACTTGTCTCTGGATTCCTTCTGTATATGCATACTTTTTTAAAGATATTGCCATAGTTTCCAGAAAGCAATTTGGTATACCCTTGAAACCTGTCAAATTAATAGCTTAACTTTCTGTCTTTACCATTGAGTTAAATCACCTACAAACTTTTCCTGATGAGAAACCTTGATGGAAGATGCTGTCTTACCAGTTGGTTGGAAAAAAATAAAAGTTGTGGTTTGGTGCCAATGAATAGCTTATTACTGAAACCAACCCAATTCACAACAAAATAAAACATTACCCAATCCTGTGCCTTCCTCACAATTGTTGTTATTGAGCCCATTGCTGCTGCCAACATGTCAATCTATCTTCTTAGGGGTCTGCCTATTTTTCACTGATCCTTCATTTTACCAAGTGTGATGTACTTCTCCAAAATCTGGTCCTTCCAAATAACATGTCCTAAGTACATGAGATGAAGTCGCACTATCCTATCTTTTTAAGAACATTCTAGATTTATTTCTTACAACACAGAAGGGAGATAATAACTCCTATCAAACATCATGAAAGTAGTGTTCTGAATTTCTTTCTGGTTATGACTAATTACAATTAATTACAATTAAATTTTATGCAACCCATGTGCTTTGGTAGCAACCCATGAACTTTGGTAGCATAGTAAGTTATGAGTTAAGCTGCTAAATGCAAGGCCAGTAATTTAAATCTTTCAACAACTCCACAGAGAGAGATGAGGTTTTCTATTTATCTAAGGATTTCGTTGTTTGTTGTTAGGTGCCATCAAGTTGGTACTGAACCATAGCGACCTTATGCACAGCAGATTGAAACACTGCCCGATCCTGGGCCAACCTCACTACGGTTGCCACGCTTGAGTTCATCAATGCTG